ACCTTCTCAAAGAATTGAACAATGTAAGCTTCACGGGCCTCTCAATCATCATCACTTACCCCAAGGATAACAATACCATCCAGGTTATTAAATCTTCTTCTAGAATTTGCGATTACATGAAAATATTTTGTATTATTATCCCCATCCTTAATCCCCGGCCTCTCAATCATCATCACTAATATCATGAAACTCTCTTGAACCATGTCTCTTCTTGTCTTTTGATCCGATGTTAGCCCCCTGTGGGACTGTTCCAGTTGGTTTACGACATTGAGCTGACTCTCAGAGTGATTGACTCTGGCATTGATATGTCCAAAATTCGAATTAGCCCAAGATTTCAACCTATGTGTTAATACCATGAGTTTCCTAGCAAAAACAAAGCCACCCCAACCTTGTACAGTAGTGTTTTGCCAAAACGATAACACTTCCAAGTGAAGTGAAGAGTTTTCAAGCCACATAAGCTCAAATCTAAAAGGAAATGGCCCAAAAGAGCTACCAAGCAAATTTAGGACATGATCGGAGAACATATGTGGTAGGGCTTTGACAAATGCTTTAGGGAAGAGAGAGTCCCAACTATTGTTAATAAAAAACGATCAATCCTTGAAAGAAGTAGTCTAATGTCAGAATTGTTTGTCCAAGTAAACTCAGTGTCCACCCAATTCATGTCAATTAGGCCATTCGATAAGATAAAATGATTGAAATTATTCATATCCACATTGATTCTATTACCTCCAATGTATTCCAAGGGATATATCCCCTGATTGAAGTCTCCAACCCCACACCAAGACAACTGGGATTGGGACAAAGAAGTGCATAAGTCCAAAAGAAAGTCTGCTTTTTCCTTACTAATATTAGGCCCATATACATTATTAATAGTGAAAAGGTCAAAAGACCTCACAAAGCAAAGCTGCATAGACAAGCATATAAAAATAGAAGACAAAAGAGATCCCTTCACAATCGAAAGATCCCCAGCATCCAAAAAACCACCAGACTGACCAAGAGAGGTAGAAAAAACAAAATTCAAAGGACATGACCTCCATAAAGTTCTAATTAGAAAGGGTCCGGGAAGGACAACTTTGTTTCCTAGAGGAGTAAAATTTGCGGCTTGTGAACAGCAAGAAGTCGCTTTAAGTCTCTCCTCCTTGACACTCCCCCTAAGCCCCTAACATTCAAGGAGCTCCGCTTCATGAGGACATAATGTCCTTCTCTCCCATGGTGACTCCCAAGGAGTCCACATCAAAATGGTCAAAATCAAGTTCAGAAGCAAGTGCTTCCACCTCCTTCTCGAGACGGGATCAAACTCTCGGTTTCTTCAAGAAAGAGGGCCACTCCACATCCTCATCGTCCAGAACCTCCTCCACCTTCTTGAATGTTCCCTTGGACTTGACACTCATGGCACTGATCAGCTCTCCCGCCTTCTCCCGAACTACCTTCCTCTTCTCCTCCTTGCTAGGTTTCCAATTTCGAGAATGAGGGGAAAGTTCCCCCAAGGAGGAGTTATAAGATCTAGTTACAAGAAGTGGGGGGATATAGGATGTAGAAGCAAGGAACAAGGTCATGGGCACATTCGAAGGTTCTGCGTCCATAAAAGGCATAGAGACTGCAATAAGCCCCCAAGCAAGACTCTTCTCCCACTCAGGGAGAGTCATCTAAGCAGCTCCATCAGGGAGCTCCGGAACCAAAGCTGAGTGGATAATGCCTATCGGTTCTTCTTCGGGCAATTTAGTGATGGTTATGCTTTGGTTGGCCATGAAAGGTTTATGATAAGAGGAAGAGAGAACAATAGCAGAGAAAAGGTAAAACCAGAGACGGTTTTTTTTTTATGTCTCTCCATTTTCAACCGAAGGGCTTCTATATATAGGAAAAAGCATAGGAGGACAAAAAGGCACAATTTGCATACCTTCATCAGAGCACAGGATTGGAAGCGACGTTTGCTCCTTGGGAGATGGGAACGACCCTTCCGTACCCGACTTGGAGGGCGAAGGCGGCTTCTCGAGGCCGAACATGGATATGCTCCACGTGTCCTTTCTCCTAATACCTTCCCAATATCCCATCCGATGACACCTCTTTACCGCATGCGGGGGCATTCGAAGCAAAGCCCACAGGAGGCCCTTGGGAAACCCGTTTCAAGTCGACCACCCGATTGACAACCAAACGATCCACATAGGATGTCTCATCAACTTGCCAACGATTAAGAGCTTGGAAGGGATTAGGCGTATCAAAAGAAATCTCCTGTGTATGGTGCATGCCTTTGCTCCCATGCCTTTTTGACGCCGAGCCACGTGACGGCTCCTTAGAAGAACAAGTGTCGAAAGAGGGAGCCTTCATCCTTCAGACCTTTTCACCACGTTAGTTTCTTTTAAATAGTTGTTGTTTTTTTCTTGTTTTAGTAACTACCAGCCACTCTTCCTCATCTCACACTGGTTTTTTACCTGAATTCGCAACACTCTTTTCCGGTGGCTTAGAAACGGAAGAGGACAAAGCAAAGGAAGGGGTTACGGGAAGACGCATGATATTCTCTTGAGAAATACAAATTTAAACGAACTCATTGTTGAACTTCAGTACCAGGCACTCCGAAATACAAGTCTCATGAGTGGAAAGCCTTCTTGCATGGAGTACACCCAAGGCAGGGTCAACAGTCTTAAACCAGTCTATTTTAATGAGTTTGCAGCACTCCTAAAGGACTCTTTCAAACACCGGCTGAGTCCAAGCTTGGGTAGGGATTCTTTCCACATGAAGCCAAACAGAGACATGCTTAATCAAAGACAAATTAACCTTGGAGATCCACCATTCCAAGGAAAGCAAAGACCCACTCATCCTCTAGACGCGTTGCCTAGAGACTCTCCCAGTGTCCTCAGGGAACATAAAAATGATTAGAAGATGATTTCCCGGTATTGATCTGCTCACAACTTTGCATTTCCATGCCCTTATAGCCCAGTCTTCAAAGAGACTCAAGTATGCAATGGGTGGGTAGAAGGAGCCCACCATTGCAAGCTCAAGCCTAGCCGCCCAGTGGACTGAATCTTTAGAGTCAATACAGATAACCATAGGTTTTTCAGGGGCCCAGGAGACCCCTGGTTAGCCCCTTGCACCACATTGTTGGAGGACAAAGTCACCTTCTCCATATTTTGGTTACTGCGGTAATGGAGGGGCCCATGAGACACCGGATTGTAGTTGCGAACTCTACCTCCAACTCGACAGCGATTGGCCTCCATAGCTCCACGAGCCATTGTTGCAAAGCCTCATCTCTCCGGTTCTATGTGAATGGATGATGTTAAGGGCAAAAGTTGTTGAAGCCTATGCAAATCTTTTCTATGAACACATGTGGGTGATGAGACCTTTCTCTACGCCCACGCCCCACTGCCATGTTTATTGAAGAGGGGCGTGACAGGCTGCTGCCCGTTTCTATAGCCCAATACTTTTGTGAAAAATATAATTACTCAACTCCACCATGCATCCATTTCTATAGCCCACTACTTTGGTAAAAAATAATTACTCGACGCCACCACCTATAGAAGAATAAACAAGTAGACTAACTCCTCGAAATACATAGGATTTGGTCCCCTTGGAAAACAAGTATTGCAAACTTGGAGCACCATTTTCCTTTTCAAAGGCTTTGGTTCTTAAAGCCCAACCACCACCTATCCCAGAACCAATAACCCAATGGTTTTGTCGTTTTTAATCATTTCTTGTTTGACATTATCCTAACATTTTACCCATGTGTTAGCTTAGTCATCTATCCGAAATAGGAATTGGCCGAGACCAAATCGGTTTGGGAATATATTGATCCCAACCTAGAACTTGGACTCCAATTTGCAGGATTGCGAGTCCAAGACCATCACAAAATTAGCCAAAGCCGAGTGAGTCTTAATTTTAATCCAATTTCTGCTGAAAATTACACAGGCAACTTTGGAATTAGGATACTCGCCCCATTTTTGGGATTCCTGCTCTAGAATAACCCCCATCTGATCCAACTTAGGTGGTTCCTACGACCAATGAGGATATAATCTGGCAATGGGCCGGCATGCCTTGGTTGTAGCCCAGCCTTGGTCCCTACATAGCTGCCCCAAGTCCAGCCTCCCAGACCAAAAAGAAAGGGCCTTGGTCCCTACATAGCTGCCCCAAGTCCAGCCTCCGAGACCAAAAAGAAAGGGCCTTGGCCCAAGCCTGGCTCTGGGCTTGTTAGGACTGGGACATGCCAAATAGAATCCAATAAAAAAGAGTAAGAAAATAAGAGCTAGGGTAGGACAAATTGGGTTGATACGGTTGTGACCTTGGCCTAGCCTAGCCCTATCCTTGGGCTATGGTGGGCCCAGCTCTCAGGCCACATCTTGTGGCCAAAGGCCCAATTTTTCATGTCTAGGTTGCCTGAGCAAGGCCAGACTTCCCGGCCCCTTGCCAAGCCTAGATATAATATGGACCTTGACGTAGGTGGGCAGGGTGCTTATCATGATGTCATAAGTTCCATCTCTTCATTATCATCATCATCAACCTTTTTTTCCACCTATTTGAGATTTTGACTATATAAATCTTCCATTTTAACCTATCAAATACGTGGGAGGTTACAATCCTGCCCTAGTAATATATGTGCATGCGCGTGAGCCTAGTGAGTCCATCTACTGTAGCACGAGGGATATACGTATATAGCATCCAAAAATATTTTCCAAAATTAATTGGATGGTTCTAGATATCTAGAATTTGACCACGGTATATTGTGGCGATCCAAGGCCAAATCCACCATCCGTTCCCATTGATCGAGGATGGATATTAATTTTGTGGGCTCCACAGCGGTATTCAATACCCTATTTTACACCAGACTCAACACTCGGCATTCCCATATTTATCCGCAATACCCTTAATGGGGAGCACACTGTGAGATCATGACCATAGACACCCAATCCAATCAATACATTGGACAGTGATGAAGAAAGGGTAGAAGCCCCAAATACTGCACAAGATGCTCCATCAAATTTTCTTTTATGCACAACCACGTGGTGGAAATTAATTTGAGGGAGATAATGAGAGGATTAATAAACGAAAGAGGCAAAGCGGCCAAACGTGCTCTTATGACCCACGTTATTGCGAAGGCATTTGCAGGAGGAGGGTTGGTGTTGGCCCAAGCAGGAGCAGGAGCAGGAGCAGGAGCAGGTCGCTCTTCAAATTCTAGGGTTTCATTTTCCTGCTTTGGTAGAACCACCATTACGAATACAGCTGCTCCAATGGAGAAGAAGAAGGAGATTTCTTCTCTGGATCCAATACAAGAGGAGAAGCGTGCTCTCCGATTCAAGGTTCGGAGGCAGCTTAAAGCAATGTCTCCCTCTCAGAGAAACCTTGAAGGTATGCCGTCAACCCATCTGTGTGTGTGTGTGTGTGTGTTTGTGCTTGTATTTACTATTTTCTCCAAATTCATGGGCTTTCTTCTCTCTGAATTTATGCTTAGCTCCTGCTCTGTGCTTTGGCCTTGAATTTGTTGTAAAGTTTTGGATTCTACTTGTGCTGTATAAACTCATGAATGTAGGCCTAAAAATTTGAGTATTTTTTAAAACTTTGCCCACAATCAATGTTGTCCCAGTGCCCTAATTTAATCCAATTTAACAAAAATAAACTCATTCATTATTGTGGTTGATGACTGTTTCTTGATAGTTCTTTCATAGTGCAATTGTGATTCTTGTAGAAAAACCAACTCTTATTAACAAGGTTACTATGGTGGATTAATGGATGTCACATTGATGATCGATTGCTCATACTGTATATATTGTAAATTTCCCTGCTATGAGACCTGTAACCGGGTTGAGTAGGAACATGAGGGGGGCACAGTGCATCTAAAGCCATAGCGAACTTAATGGCATGAACAGTAATATAAGCGGGTGAAAATTGAATGTGAGATAGTATGTAGCAAGGTAAAGGGGCATTGATAGAATATGAAACCCTAGAGAGAAAACCAGAGAGAAAGGGATAAACCTGTATTCATTCATTCTAGCCATTTACAAATCAGAGTATATATATACACAATAGACAGAATTACCCTTGAGGGTAAAAAATAAAGAATGCCCTACAAAATATCACTGAAGGCAGTTTCATCTCTTTTAACATCCCCCCTCAAGCCGAGCATGCATCTTGTGCATGGAGAGCTTGTCTGTGGACTCGTGGTGTCTTGGTCTTGTCAGAGGTTTAGTAAACATGTCTGCCAATTGATGGGACGAAGGAACAAATACCATGGAAATAGCACCAGAGACAACCTTTTCTCTAATGAAGTGATAGTCAACTTCTATGTGTTTGGTGTGAGCAAAAAAGATAGGATTGGTGGCTAGTCGCATAGCACTTTGATTATCACAAGCTAGAATAGTAGGCTTGATTGTAGAAACACCAATTTCCTTGAGGAGCATACGTAGCCAAGCAATTTCTGTTGTGACAATACTCATTGCTATATATTCTGACTTTGTACTGGATTTTGATACTGAGGCCTGCTTTTTGCTACTCCATGAAATTAAACTCTTTCCGAGAAAGATACAAAATCCTGTAATGGACTGACGATCATTAGGACACTTTGACCAATCAGCATCAGAGAATGCTTTGAGTTCAGGAAAACTAGAGGAAGAATAGAATAAACCATCATGTATAGAGCCATTTAAGTACCTCAAAATCCTTTTTGTGGCTTCCCAATGAGGTTGTCGGGCTACCCCCATGAACTGACATACTGTATTCACAACATAAGCAATACTAGGGCGTGTGAATGTGAGATATTGGAGGTTACCAACTACACTTTTGTACAATAAGGGATTAGATAACAATTGCCCTTCTTCAATCCTTAACTTTCTATTAACTTCAGCTGGGGTGGAAATAGGCTTGCAACCCAACATCCTTGTTTTAGAGAGTAAGTCAAGAACATATTTGTGTTGGGTGAGAACAATGCCTTTTTATGTGTGATGAATTTCAATACCCAAAAAATATTTCAGTTCTCCAAGATCTTTCATCTTAAAGGTCAATTTCAATTCGTTCTTGATATGCTCAATGCCTTGGATATCATTTCCAGTAACAATAATATCATCCACATAGATCAAAAGAAGGATAAGACCTGAGGATGATTGTTTTAAAAACAGGGAGTAGTCAACCTTGCTTCTTTGAAAACCAATATGGTGGAGTAGACAATTGAATTTCTCAAACCATGCTCGAGGAGCTTGCTTGAGGCCATAAATAGCCTTTTTTAATTTACAGACATAATTTGGTCGTAAGAGATCTTCAAATCCTTTGGGTTGTTGCATGTACACTTCTTTTTTCAAATCACCATGAAGGAATTGCATTTTCGACATCAAGTTGATGGAGTTTCCAATTAAACATAGATGACAAAGACATGATGCATCAAATAGTGGGTGCCTTCACAACAAGACTGAAAGTTGCATCATAGTCAATGCCACATTCCTGACTAAACCCCTTGGCCACTAGTCTAGACTTCAACCTTTCAGCTGTTTCATCTGATCGAACCTTAACTTTGTATACCCATTTTGAGCCCACAACATTTTTGGATGGAGATAATGGCACTAACTCCCAGGTATGATTCCTTTAAAGTGCATCAATCTCTTCTTTCATTGAGGCCATCCACCCAGTGTCAGAGACAACTTCTGCATAGGTGGTTGGTTCTAGAATTTGAGGAACTTATATGGCAAATGCTTTCGGACTGGGAGATAGTCTCTCTGAGGTAAAGTTTTCAATAGGGTATTCGATTTTTATGAGATTTGAGGTAGTGTCAGGAGAGGGAATGGTTGCTGAGTAAACATGGTAATTTGACAATTTCAGCTCAAATCGTTTACCATAGGCTAAAATCAAAGAAAACAAACGGAGGTACAGATTTCAGCACTCCTTTTAAACCGACACGTGTGCAATATTTGGTAGCAACTTGCTTGAGTATTATATAAACTTTGGTAGTTATACCGAGTTTGTACAGTACTCTGGTGAGTCCGTATAGTTCTCACTATGTACCTATTCTAGGCTCCGTAGGTTGCCGAGCCCAAGTAAATCTCCCTTGTCCGAGTTGACTCGGAGCAAGTTTTCAGTCACTGACTTGTCCTGAGTATATCTCAATTAAAGATGTTAGCGGTTGGAGTACATATTACTGATTGAGCATTATATCACATTAAATAACAATAGACATTAGAATTTCTATTTTTGATGACTGTAGATGTTGATTAAATCAAATTTAATATTGGATGTGCTTTTCTTATGATAGATTACTTTTTCTTTTGTTATAATTGTATATGTCCTTTTATTCCAGCGACTGTAATCTGTATGCATGAAAAAGATCCTCAATTAGACACCAGTTACTAGGAAAATGAATGGAAGCAGATACCGTGGCGATCCCGGATTATGTAATCTAATGAATCTAACTAAACATTTTCATTGTTTGATTTCCATTATTGTTTATTATGAACCACTAACATAGTTTTGATGGAGAAACCCTCTCTTTTCCCTCGCAGATGCTGCAATTCAAAAGCAAGTATTGGAAGCTTCTTGGTTTAAAAGTTGCAAAAGTTTATGTGCTTATGTGAGCTGTGAGGTTCTAAGGGAAGTAGATACATCAAAAATTTTGTCAGAGATTTTGGGTGACCCTACCTTTGGTGTGTTGTGATATCTGTAATTTGTGCCTTACTTTCCTAAATATCATGTTCAAGATTCCAAATATGAAGAGTCTCAAAGTTGCTCTTTCTTTCTTTGTAATTCTTATCATGTTCAGAAAATGCTATTACTCTTTAACCTAAAAAAGAAAAAGCAAGGACTTTATAGATTACTTAATGGTTTAAGTCTTTAATGGAAACCATGACATCAGTGTTGCTGTGAACTTGCTATAATTCCTCTCAAGTAGATGTTTCATATTTTTCTTTTTCTAGAATGAAAGGAATCTAGGAGAGAGGGTTTCTGGTTGTATACGCCCTGTAGGTAGTAAATACTACAAATGCGCACATGCACTTACGTAGACAGATATCTATAAAATCATGAAATACATCTTGATGAGCTCTCAAGCGTCTTTCTTTTTAATTTTCTACTGCTTTTTTTTCTAAACTATATATCTATCTGTGCATCACAAGTGTGCATGAGTGTATGTTTGTGGCCATGTGTGTCCACATGCATGTATGCGTGCATGAACAACTCCATATGTTTATACGTCAGCATGTATTACTTGCATTTTTGCTCATGCTTTATTATGTTTGCTTGCATGCATTTGTTGCAATGTTTACATTTTTTGGGGACATTATTTGTCCATTTTCTTATTATTCATTTTCACGTGAAGCTTGCGATGCACAGATTAAGAAAAGGTTGTATGTTCCACGAGTGGAGGACAGGAACTGCCACATGCGGATGCTCAACATATCAAGAGTCGACGATCTTATTGCAAACCCAATGAATATTTTGGAACCAGCCCCTCTTGACAACGCCGGGAATCAACGGGAAGATGGTATCCCTTCTACTTCTTTACAATGTTTCTCCTTAGTCATTCATAACTCGATATCAAAAAATAAAGTTCCCATTTGGTTGTCATTGAGAAACACATAATATATAAGCATGAAATGACTGTTGTCTAATGTTCATAGTTGGTTGGTTTAGATTTTTAAGGATTATGCGCACTTTTATCATCATGTGATACTTTATTAAGTGGGGGAAGGACAATGCTTTATGATGCCTAACTCTCTGAACACATATTTCAATAGTACTCTGTCCAAGGGATGAGATTATGGTACCTTAGTATCAAATGCGGTGTTAAAAGCATGGAGCTGAGCTGCTCGCTGAGTCTCAAGTCTGACCCAGCAAGTCTTGGAGCAGAATCACTTGTTTTTTCTTCTAAAGAACGGAAAGACTCGGTCAGACTGGATCAAGACTCATGTCCCACGAGTTGCAGTCATCTTGAACCGGCAGGGTGCTGACTCCGAGTTACTCGGGCAAGTCCAAGTTGGACTTACCAAGTTTCTAAGCACTGGCTAACTCCTTGTTTTCCTATAACCTTTTGTTTCAAAATCATGCGGTTTGGCTTTCTCTGAAGTGCACATCCTTTGTTGCTGGGATAAAAACATGTATTTTCTATTTTTGTCCCACTCAATTAGGAAAAGCCTTTCATGTTTGCATGCACACATAAAAAGGCACAAAAAGCGGTACCCAAATTAGCCACCGACCCACAAATGGATCATCACCCAAAATGCCGCCCCAAACTGTGGTTGAACAATGGTTTCAGACAGGCCTTAAATGTTTTCCAGAAGAATGATCTTCTTGTTAACAGGGGGAGCAGAAGTGTTATTCATTCATCTAAAGAGCCTCGTCTTGGACAGAAGATAATTTTATCTTTTTCTTGTGGAATGTGGCTTCTTTTCTATGTTGATATCCATACTATTCTTATGTTAACTCTGATTTTTTCTATTGGGTTTCATTCTATGGTAAAACATCATATATCTAATGAGAAATACAGGGGCTCCTATCCCATAAATGCCTGAATTCCTGTGAACTCATTCCTTCATGTACATTTCTCTGTCCTAAAAGAATATTTTCTGACACAGGAGGAGCTTTTGTGCTTATCAATTCTACAATTGAAGCAGCATGTCATTTCTTCTTGAATTTAGACGGTTATCCTAACTTTTAGAGTTGTCTCATTTCCTAGTTGCTCTGTTATGTTTTACATTTAATCATCGGCTTGATGAAGACGAATTGAGTTCAGGGGAAAGCAAAATTTATGCGGGAAGCTATATTCCAAGAACTTCCATTCTTATTGGAGGGATTTATTCTAGTCCATTTCTGGAAGAATCTCCTTACAAGGATATTTTCTCTCCCGTTTATTGAGCACGGCAGTTTCATCAACTGGAATTGATGGTTCGTTGACTTGACTGCAGTGGTCTTCCATTTTGCTGAAATATTTTTTCTCTTATATATGTGTGGGCTCTGCTAGGGTGCTCTGGCTTGACAACCCGAGCACATGGTCTCGTACCCCAAACACACGTAGCTAGGAAGAATTTTTCGTGAGAAAATTTTCAGATAGTCTTTGATTTACCTTGTAAACAAATTCAAAAGAAAAAAGAAAGGACTTGGGCCCTTATAACCCTAGGGCGTAGTTTCTGGGATCTCCCAACCAATGGGTCGATCCTACCCTCCAGGGAGGGGGATCTTGCGTCTCTGTGATTTTCAAACTTTGGGATCTCGATCCTTCCTTCCTATTAAGGATTGAGATCCTGAGTTACATGGGATCCAAATTCCCTGAACCGAGGTTTCATCAAACTGGGATCAAGAGTCCCTTAGTGGTGGACTCTATTGGCCCTTTTGCCCTCTTTAATAATAGGTCACGAGTTCAAACCTTGAGCTTCAACTTAATGCTAAGTGACGACTACTTTTGCATAATTAGTTTAACACTTTAAATATTATATGATATATTAGTTACATGTTTTGTTAGACTATCTTGTCTTTTTTGTATTCTCTAACAGGCTACTGGTTACCTTGAGCTTTATCTTAACACTTTTTATCAAAAGAGAAGGATGGCCAAATTGTTACTACATTACATAAAGTCATAAATTACATCTCAAAGAATGCAGAAATAAAAATATTATGTAATGATTCAATTTTTTTAAATTGTTTATAAAGTTTCAATTTCCTAAATGTTTTTATTACTTCATTAAAATATAAACCACACTCAAAGAAGTAAAAATTGTTATACAGAACGAATGGACTTCTTACATTTTTAATAAAATTTTGAAGTTTTTTTTTAAAATATTAATTAATTATTTATAATATATGGACTGTGCTCCTGACCTTGGGAACTCTAGTTATGTGCAGTCAAGGACCTTGATTTTTGACCAGATGGAGCTCAGACTTGAAGAACTCATCATTTGATCCCGAGAAGTAGGAATCGAGCTCCCCAACTTATTGGGATTTCGATTTTTAAATTGCAGGACGGTGATTCCGAACCTAGGGATCTTCTAGCCTTTCACGATCCTTCGCTCCATCCCTGAACCGGTCCCCATTCCCAATCCCGGTAACTATGCTGGAGGCAATCTTTGGAAGGGATTTTAATGTCAATCTTGTGCATATGGTGGTCTGGCAAGACTACTAAATCTATTCCCTATGTGTATTATCTAGTTAACGCCTCTGTGCCATTTTTTGGGCGTTTGGTTTTTGTGAAGGATCTCCTTTTTATTAAGACAGGCCTGCTCTCTTCTGTAATGATTGCTTTGAGTCGGAGATCCCACATCATCTTGAATCATTACTTGAAATGTGATATGCAGTTCTCCTTAGTTATTCTCGTTGACTGTCCAGCATGCTATACTATTTCTTTATTCAGTTGATATCTGAAGGGGAAATCAAGGAAAAGTTCAAAGATTTCGCCGAACGTACATTAATTATGTATTAGTACTCCACGAAACAAAAAGGAAAAAGTACGTTGATTAATCATGAACGAACCATCCATATGAGAAATGTTGAAGTGAAGTAAAGAAACTCATTGGAATAACACTGATATTGTTCCTTTCAAGGACTCGTATACACTAAGAACAAAGTTTTATCCATTTGTAGATGGAGCTTCAACAACAGTAAGTATAGAGGGAAGTTGTGAGCATTACATTCATGCATAACTTCCATACCAAGTTTAGCACGGTTGATTATATCAACCCAAGTGTTGATGACACAACTTTGACTGTCAACTACGGATTGGTTGAAATTGAAACTATTTAGGTTGAAAGCCATAGTGTTAATACCCAAAGCAGTGAACCAAATACCTACTACAGGCTAAGCAGCTAAGCAGAAATGTAAGGTTGGTGTTTACTTAGATTATAATTTTTATTATTAATTGGTTGCTTTATTTGTGTTGACTGGTGTGGTTTGATTGCTCGGTTGAAATGTAATTCTTTCTGTGATCAATGAGGAACAATGAGATTGGAGGCAATTGCATAATTAAATTTCTAATGGTTTTCTTTTGCAGTTATGCAGGCAACTCACCCAGTTGACTTGTTTCTCTTACCCGGTATGTAGCACTCTTTCTCCACACACACACGCACACGCACACGCACACACGCACACACACACACATATTTTCTGTTTATCTATGCATCTATGTTATCTATCTCAGGTGAGGGAAAGTGCTGCATGAACTAATTGTCAGGAACTTTGTTTCGCATGTTGTTGATAGGCCTTGCTTTTGACAAATCTGGAAGACGATTGGGCCGTGGTGGAGGGTATGCCTAGGACTTATCCTTTTGAGTTCTTTAAAAGTTAGAGAGTTTACCATGGTTAGTTTGGTGCTTGAGAGTTTTCTAGGTTTTTCTGGTTAACTTAAGTTAAATATTTAAAGCTGATAGAGTCATGCGAAGTCGCCAAACCTAGTTTTATGAGGAAAAATTAAACCAAATTTTGAGAAAATGGCAATAAAACTCTGATTTCAGCTGTTAACCGTCAAAATATAAATGATAGGAGAAGTCGGATCTTGGAAAGTTATAATTGAAAGTGGAAATCTATGAATGAATTTGAAAATCTTATAGACTCTGACAACCATTTCATATTGGTTGGGGTCTATTTACTTTCAAAGACTTTCGATTTCATTTTGTTTGCATTTTTCTATTTTGAATTTGGTGTTTTCCCTAAAGGTACTATGATGCTTTACTCACAAGTTACAAGGAGCTTGTAGCCAGGCAGAAATGGGAACCACCACTCTTAGGTGCCTACTCATCTCTTATGTGCCTAATCAATGCATAATTACTTTCTTGAGATTGTTAAGCTGATTTTGCGGTGGGTTGCTTCTGGTTTCATTGTTGACAGTGGCACTATCATACTCTGTGCAAATAATGGATGATGAAGTCATCCCTGTTACATCCCATGATGTGCTCGTTGATGCCCTCGTCTCCCCAGCTGGTGTAATACGTATAAGCCCTATTGCCATAGAGAAAATGTAAACTTTATGCATTCCTTGAGAGAGCATACTGGTAATTGTTGTCTTGCATTTTGATATGATTTGCGTTCTTATAACCATATGTTATGTTTACATAAGCTCAAATGCCTAATATCAGTACTATGGTACTAAAATTGTGCTTTCCTTTCTGTCTCTTCTGTTTTGAGTAGCAGGTTCTTTTGAAATATGACTATAATCATCTGAAGATAAAGTTCGGATTAACGGCTGTAGTATTAAGTGCATGCTTTCCATCTTGAGTTTTTTGCTCCGAATCTGTCGCTTACCCATCCAAGAAAAGAAATGCAAAAACAAAACACGGAGTTTTTGTGGGAGTGCTCCATAATTGCCGAGGACTAAAATCTGGAAGTTGCATGTGATTGCTCTTTATTCATTTTTGGTTCTGCATTTTTGAAGTATATTGGTTGTTATTTATTTCTTTGTGACTAAATGAAAAATTGAAACTCATAGGACTTGCAGAATGGTGTTATTGGTTTCTGGGAGTTGGAAGTGTGCAATGCTTGTGATTTTCTGTCTTGCACCCCACATATACTGAACAAGCGGGCCTCACAATAATTGGGAAAGAGGCCCTAGCATTATGTTTCAAAATAGTTTCTTTTGGTATAGAATTATCACTTTCTAAGAGCTATGGGAAAAATGTTTTAGCAAGGGTTAACATTTTAATATTAGGTATTTACCCCTTATCTGCTCTTTCTTGTTTATGATTATCTTTTAATTCTTCTTAACTTGAGGGGAGTTGCTCTACCTAAAAACATTTCACACTATTTGCAGAGGGAGGTGGGTTTGCAGAGTAGAAAGAGTTAAGGGCAGCTGGTTTCCACTGTGGAGAGAGAGGTGAGGCAATTTTATAGGCACAAATTTGGCTTTGTGAATTTATCTTATCATTCTTAGGGATACTCTGGGACCATTGGGAGGCTTTTGGAGCTTCCAGCTGCATTTAGAATTTGACCCTACATCTTTGATGCTTAGAAGTTTGAACATAACCTATGTTCTTCTAGTTCTGGCCTCCATTAAAGTATACAAGACTCGAACTCATTTGAAAGTCAGTGTTTTGAGAACTGGATTAGTGGGCTGAATTGGTCACTAGCAGAACCGATCCGGATCGGTGAGCTTGCCAGTTCAGATCCTGTTCACCTGGTAAATTGTATATATCCAAAAAATAAATAAAAAATAAAACCCGTGAGAACTTGGAGTTCAGGGGCTTTCTGACTCTGACTGGTACTCCACCAGACCAATTCCGGTTTGAACGGACGATTTGATTCGCTTTTTAAAACGCTATTTGACAGAATGGAAGTATATTCCATTGTAGCTTTTGGGTTAGTTTCCGAGCACCTCCCAACTGTCAGATGTCAAGAAGGGAGGGTCGGGGTGCATTTATTCTCACTCTTTTGAAAACAATTTGGAGGCTTTGAGCTATAAATGGGCACCAGAAGTTCAGGGAGGTACTAGCAAACCGTCTGAACCCAAAAACCACGAGCATATGGTACTCAAACTAGAGAATTTTATTCATGAACTAGAGACACCAAATTCAATTCAATAAAGTGTTGATTTTCCTTGCTTAAGAGTTTCCCAAATGCTTGATTTGGTGGTTATTGGGTTTCGGCCAGTGTTGTCAAATTTTTGGTTCTATGTTGAAGAGGCCAAAGGTTTTGGATTTTAGGTCTAGACCGAAACGAAGCGAATCTTGGTGCTGTCGTTTCAGTCAGCATCAAGCTGATTCAAGTTGAAGCTTAGGATGAAGAAATATCTATATAAAAGTATTTTTTTATTGTTTTAAAATTTTTATTTTAAATTTTTCATTAAATATATATCTAAATGTCAAATTTATTTATTATAAATTTTTTAAAAAAGTTTGAAGTGTTCCCCCCAAATGGTCAAAAGGACTGAATTGTTTCGTTTTCTTACCAAACCGAAGAAGACTTTGACAATATTGGTTCTGACTTAGTGGTTAGGGCAAAGAGCCATACCACATTTTATTTTACCGGGCCTGCCATAATTTTAAAAGTTTAGTCGATGGGCAATCTCTCTCACTCTCTTGTTGTTATTGTGTGTATCTATATGGGAAAAGTTTATATAGAGCTGGGGCTCTAAACAATCAAATTAGAGCCTACTTCAAAACGTTCATTAGAAGAGGTTGTTTTGATGGACTAAATATTCACAAATTGATCATCTCAACATCAAGATGCACATACATAAGAAAAAAATGAATTTCAAGTTTTGGAAATAGAGTATTTTGTAACACATTTTTTAACTGTCAATTTTCAAGATTTTCAAGTTTTCATAGATCTGTTGATCTACACTATTTTTGAAGTTTTAAACTTTATAAATACATATAAAAATATATTTTAAGGCTATCACAAAGATTTCCAGCATTGAAACTATATTTCTCGATACTATTTGAGGGAAGGTTCTAATTTGATTGTTTAG